TCGTCGTCGTCGTTGTCGTCGTTGTCGTCGTCGTCGTTGTCGTCGTCGTCGTTGTCGTTGTCGTCGTTGTCGTTGTCGTCGTAGCGACGACCGGCGGATACACTCCAACGGCACGGTAAACGTTTCCCGAGTGCATACCTATAATTTGACGAGCACTTTGCCGTCACTTCGCCGTGTTCGCATTTGCGGCGGCGGCGCTTTTTCGCAGCGACGCGCGCTCGCTGCCGGAGAACGCGACATTATCATAAGTCGCGGGGGGATATAAAGTCCTCGGGATAGAAAGGAAAGAAAGAAAGAAAGAAAGAAGGTCATGTCGCGGCGGAGGTGGCGGCGACCTCCGTGCCACGCACGACAACGCGAAATGATGGATGTGAAATCCAGTTGGAAAAACCGGCTCGGCCTTAGGGGGCCTCCTTTAGGGCTAAACATAGCCGAATTGTCGCGAGCGATAAATTCTCTCGGCGAAGTGAAGAATTTTTTTGCAAAACCCATGATCGAAGGGAGAAACAGTGCGCGGTTTCCGATATCGCTCGTACGTATCTCGCTCCTGAAGTTCGCGAGGCACGCTTCTACGCTTTACGGAGTACATGTAGATCACGTACTACGAGATAATGCAATCGAAACCACACGTGTACGCGCCAACTCACACGCGGAAGTTGAGGATCGTACGCACGACGAAACTTCCATGAGCAAACAGGTGCGCCGTGTCTTCGAACCGGCTCGGCGATCCGTCTTCCTCGTCGAGGAAATCCATGCTCGATCGATTCGACGTCCCTTGTGAACGCTCTCCTCGGGATGCCGTGCTCCGCATCTTCCATCGGTATTTTCCAGAAAGCAGTGGGGATGTTAATGACAGTACGGTTAAACTGTACAATATTGCGCAATTGAACTAAATCGAAACATTTCCCATTCCGATACCGCGATATTTCGACACTAATAGACTCTCACTTGATATTTTGCCCGATAATTTTTACATCGACGTTTTTATGTTCCCTTCTCTATTAAATTTTATTTAATCGAATTTTCGACGTGTCCGCGATCGACATGTTGTCTTCGCGCTCGGGTTCGCCTGTCGTCGAGGCAATATCGCGAAACTGGACGACAGTCGATCATCTCGGTGCCAATGAATTTTCGTCCATGGAGTGGGCGATAATTGAAATATTCGATTTCCAAACATCGATTACAAAATGAATTTTGCGGAATATTGGCGTTTATTTATTTATGGTTTCTCGACTTGTTGATAACTGTGCGATAACGCTGAATTTGGGTAATTTGAATACGCATTTCATCTCCCGACGCATCTTCGATGTTTCGAATTGCAACGAATGAGTTTTTTCGCAACGTACCGACGATTGTAATTTGCTCGTCGGCTATTGCGTGTTGGCAATATTGCGCTTAATATCCATCACTGCGCAAAAAAATGAACAGGTATTACATTATTATCTTCACAATAGTGTGATTAACCGATCGAAGTTACGTAAGCATTCCACTAGCTCCTAACGTAGGATAGATCATAAAGCGTGTACACCAGAAGCAAGCCACTTTTTTTTTGCTCCCGGGAGGAAGTTTGAAATCGAGTTTTCTCTGAGCGAAGTTTTAATTTGAAGTTGTTTTCATAACTTCTATATTTTCAGCGCTGGACATCTTGGTTATTAATAAGTCTTAGATTAAAGTTTTCTCAAGATAGATATTAAATGTTAGAATGTTCACATTAAACGTCCGGTCATAAAGCCGGAAGGGAAACTCACGAGAGCTCTTTTAATTCCCGAGCTCGGGCAACTCTCAGTTAATCAAGCCCTCAATTAAATCCTCTCCGAGATCGATTCGGGATGTAAATAACTCCCGAAGAATTATCCCGTTAGACAATCGCGCGTCTCTCATCGCTAATTTCGACGGGTCTTTAAGTGGGAACGAGCGTTAAAATCCCCCTGTGCTATATAAATGTTTTCGCGTTTGCGCGACGGATTCTGCCATTTAATGTTCTCCATTCGCGTTAAACGACGAGTCCGCAGCGCGGCGTGACGGCGCATATTCGCGCCATTAATTCGCAATCTATTTATTTACCGCGATCGCGCGCTCGTAAACGTGGCGTTTGATCTTCGGCTCATGTGCATGACAATACTACCCGATCGCACGTTCTCTCTCTGTCTTTCTCACTCACTCACTCACTCACTCACTCACTCACTCTTTCTCTCTCGATGCGTTCGCGATAAATGCGCTTCTCCGCGCGGATCGCCGCGCCGACCGCCGCCGCGCCGCGAGGCTGCGGTTATTCCGGGCGCTCAATTATCTCCGCACAATGAGCCGATCGCAAGCGGAACATCACAGTCGTGACACAGTTCTGCCGCGCTTCGCGAACTCGCTTCGACTAAATTTAATTCGGGATCTTATGGGATTTGGTTCTCGATCAAGATTACTAGCGTTATTTAATAATCTTTTCTATAGAGCGAGATGTACGAATACTAATGTTGAAGCTGAAATTTCTTAATCGAAGAGTGCTCTAATATCGGCGAATTCTTGATTAAATTTAAATTTTATTAAATTTATCTGAGAAGCTAAGTACTCAGCTGGTACGAATTAGCGTAAAAGAATCGAGCGAGGTGGAAGAGCAATTTTTGTTATATCAGATAATATTGGAGAGTAATACGCACCCGTTACATTTTTCACGACGCCATGAAATGAGGGACGGGGGGCGAGCGTAAAAGGATAGGAAAATGGACAGAGAGCGAGGAAGTAATGGTCGGGCGAGAGAAAGATTATGAGGGAGAGGGGATAGAGAGCGAAGCCTTACGTAATATATAGACCTCCGCGTCGTTGACGGATGACAGGAGCGTCTTCTTCGCTGCCAGAACAACCGAGGTTAAACATCCGTGTATG